GGAATTCTGGGAGTTGAAGTCCACCCATCTTAAAGTTGCTGAGGTTGAGGAACCCTGCTTCCAAGGATATGATAATAGTGATATGGCATTTGATAGTGTCCATTCAAAATAGGGGAGTTTTCAGAATGTGTAAACTTGCAAATTGCTGAGGACATTCAAATAAAAAATAATTATTATTATAGATTTGGAAGGGGCCGTTAAGGCCACTGAGTCCAACAGACTACTCAGTCAAGACAATCCATGCAGGAATCCAAATTAAAGCATCTACAACAGGTGAACTTGAGTGAGTTCTGGAGGAAATTTCCTAGCAGCTTTTAACTACTTCTCTAGGTAATTGGTTTCACTGCTGAAAGTTTGTCTGAAGTGACTTTGTAGGTGTTTTATTAAAGGCTCTTTTTCCAAAATTCAAGGAATGTGCTTATTAATACCAAGGTCATGCTACTCTTAAAAATGCAGCTGTTTTTTTTTAATGTGTATAATATGACTATAATGTGTACAATAGCATTGTGAACAAATATCAGTAAAAGTGGATACATTTTACTGGTTTTAAATTCCTTTGGACCCAAAGTGCATGTTGCCTGTTGGAAACTGTATTCTGACGCAGGAGCAAGTTATTCAGTAATTGAAAAAGAATCATGTAAACTATGTTGACTAACATAACTTTAATTCAATTTAAATGTTAAGCCAAACTTAAATTTTATTCTCACTCATCTTTTGGAGCGTGGTCCTTAAGCATGCCGTTAAAGACCAAGAGCAGCCTCAGACTGAAAAAAAAGTTCTTAGAACATGGCATTTTAGCTGGTCAGAATGGCATGAGTTCAGTGGGATGCATTCTTGCATATATATAAGTAGGATTTAGTGGGACACTTGAAGTGAGACTTGTACAAGTCTATATCTCCACCTCCTATTGTCCAGATATGTTGACCTCATTTTCCAAAATACCTGGTCAGTGTGAGAAATGCCATGATAGTTGGGAATGATAAGAGTTGAAGTCTAACATACCTGGAGGGCACCAAGCTACAAAAAAGCAGCATTATTTTATGGAAGAAATTCAGTGGTGTGCAGGCAGAAGTGCATTCACGGGATGGCTCCATCCATGGGGAGAGTTCATTGGCTTCCCCCATGTGCTTTTTCATCCTTTTTAAAACTGCAGTCTTGGGTGGAGGATCAAAGGGAGTTTTTGTATGTTTGTTTTTAATGATTAAAATAAACCAAATGTAACAAAAAAATAAAAATAAAAAGGCAAAACAGATCTATATGATATCCATTCAGTAGCAATATAAAATTAATTTGGTTCTGAAGCAACTCATTCAATCTAGAACATATAGAAACATACCATCTTCTCATTGTTAGAAAATAAAGAAAAATAGATAACAGATTCATATTCTGCATCCATTCTTTAATAACATGATAAGTTTATTTCCATTTACATAAGATTATCTTTTTTGTGGAGCCTCAGGCTTGAAAGAGCCAACATTCTCCATTTGCAGGACTGCTGACTCCCTTGTGGATCTGCCCGTCCTATGCAGTCCAACAGGGAGGGCAGACTCCAGGTCCCCTCACTCAGATGATGCCCTGTTAGGAGTCTTCAGAGGCAAGCCTTCTTGGTGGAAGCCCCTGCTTTTGGGGCAACCTGCCCCCTGATATATGGTTGCCCTTGATCCTGCAGGCCTTTAGAAAGGCAGTTAAGACCTGGCTCTTTTCCCAGGCCATGGGGTCTGGATGAGTAAAGTCCCAGATGGTTGAGCTGCAGCATATTTTAATCTGGTTGCCATTTTATTGTTTACTTTATTAGTTGTCTTTTAATGGATTGTGCTATTTTTGCGTGGGTTGGGTTTATGGTGATTTTTCATTGATACTAAATGGATATTATATATTTGTTTTTATTAGGGTTTTTTTGGTTATGTAATCATCTGGAGAATCATAAAGTGCCTATTTTAATGTTAAGTACCAATTTTGTATCAACCGCCCCCCCCCCCATGGCGTTGATACTGGCAGAATGTAACATGATTAGTAAATTACTCATCCTAGCTGATGTGACCTCCCCCACAGAGACTTCTAAATGGAGCATCCAGATTATTTCCATTCTCTTATTTTGCCATCTGCTTTGTGCAGCTATGCAGGACAATGAATGCTTAAAGATTTATAGTATTGAGCCTTTTATCTTTCCTTTCCCTGCAATTTCAGGATATCCCTTATTATTTAATCACTTTGTTTGAGTTGTGTGGCCATATTTTTTTTTTAAAAACCCATATTTTAAGACTATAGTATAACATCACATTTACATCTTTAACTATTGTTCTTTCCAAAATTGTATTAACTTACGTTATAATGTGAAACCCAAATCAAGTTCTGGATGAATAAGAACAATTTATATGAATTAGGGAGCTCCCAAATTTCTTACAATGCCAACACAAAAAATCTGATGTCCAAACTTTTTTTAAAACACACAGAGACAGAGACAGAGACAGAGACAGAGACAGACACAGACACAGACACAGACA